AACAGAAGAAATAAGGTCTTGATTATGGCTTAGGATCCCCAGGAGTCCACCCTCAATAGGACACCAGGGACACTGCCTGACTTGCTGGTCAATTTCTTCTTTGGCTTATCATACTGGTTTGGGTTTACTTGACTTCAGTGCTTTACTATCCACACTATGCTTCAATCAAACTACTAACATACCACAGGCTGGCTACTTATCAGTAAAACAGAAGTTCCAAATATATCAGTCTGATCCCCAGAGTTACTGAACCAAAGGGAAACCCTAAATCCACATTATTCAGACTGCCATTGAGAAAATTCCTAAGCAATCTTCCTTCACAACTTCATGCTGCCAGAATCTGTGCCTGCTAATCAGCTAGAGTCCCCAGTCAATGAAGCATAGCTGAGGTTAGAAGAGGGCAATTTCTGTTAGACATTACTAACCACTTGTAGTACCCAAGAGTACCCAAGTACTTGGTGGAGATTAGAGAACTTCAGGAAAAGCAATCATTCAAGAAGCTTTGAGAAATTTCTCAGGGCTCCATCTCTCCCTGATCCCTTTCAATCACATCACTACATTTAATGCCATGGTGGCTGCACCTTGTGGAACTTGCCCAATGATGCATGTGACAGAGACGCTGGGGAATTACTTGCTGCACCACACACACCTCCCAACTCTGTATCAGTTGGCATGGATATTGCTACATCAAGTATAAGAAACAATGCTGTTAATAAGAAATATTTCTAATAATGAATAAACTATGTAGAACAACTGCAGTTAGAGGAATCAGAAACTATCAACCAAACACATAATAAACAAGTATCAGTCTCATCTTGCTCTAACAGTCAGGCTCCCCTTTGGTGTTTTGATTTATTTGACTAATATCATTCACCACATTTTAAAAACCAAACCAAATTACTTAGGGACAAATGAAGCACTGCAATAACTGAGAGCCAGGTAACCCTGTACACCCCACTGTGTACAAACCAACCTGCCTGGATAGAGGTGCAATTTCCTAAAAAATAGTAAGAAATCATTTCATTTTTCCTTATTTAACTCCCCGCACGAGAATACCAGTGTAAATACACACAACCACCTCCTTCAGGAACACATCCCATGCTCGGGATATTGCAACACCACGCACCAAGGATACTGTATTGCTTTAACTGCTACAGTTAGGCAGAGACCTTTGTTACAGATCTACCATTTATGGTCCAACGCAGCGAAGGCCGAGCGCTCGCTCCAGCTCCAGCTCCAGCACCAGCGGGGATGCAGGACCGGACCGCGCGCAGGGGCGAGCCGGGCCGCCGGTGACTCCCCGCCCGGCGCTTGCTGTCCGGCCCCGCCGGCCCGGCCCGGCCGCGCTGGCTGCTGCCCAGGCACCGCTTTGTCTGGAGGGCTCCGATGGAGCAGGCGATGAGGGCAGCGGCCGATTCTTCCCCACGCAAGAGGATGCCAACCGGCTCCTCATGGCCGGCCCCGCTCTGCCCAGCCCCGGCGGCAGCAACGCCCGGCAGAAGCCTGTCCTCCGCCCGGGCGTGCCGCGGCAATGGCGTCAGGAACAACCTGTCAGCGCCTGCCTGCCAGCCCCGCACTCTTCCTCCTCCTCTCCCCAGCCTGGGACCACGGCCGCGCAGCGCAGGGAGATGCGGCTCCCGCCCGCCCTCCGCTGAGCCCCGCGCATCCCGCAAAGACCCCCGGGAGTGCGGGCCCCGCCGCCGCCGCCCCGAGGCAGGAGGGAGCGGGGTTCGCACCGCCCGTCCCCCGCAACACGGGCGGCGGCCGTGAGAGAAGCGAGGCTCCAGGCCCGCGGTCAGCGCCCCCAGGCGCGGCTCACCCGCTCCGGTGCTTGCTGTCCATCCGCTTCTTCTGCCTGACCGGCTGCAGCGGGATGTTGTCGGTCATGGCCGCGGCTGCCGGGGCGGAGCGGGGAAGGATGCGCTTTCCAGCAGCGCCTCGGCCCGGCCCGCCGCCGTCTGGCGGCTCCGCCGAGGGGGCCGGGCTCGGCGCCGCCGGGTCCCAGCACGCAGGTGCCGCCCCACCGAGCTCCGCCCCCGGTCCGGTTCGCTTCTGGTCCCCAGCACCAGTCCGCATCTCCCAGCTCCGTGTGCATCACCCAGAGCGCCCAACGCAACCCCGCAAGGTCCGGCACCTGCTCTGTCTTTAAGCCTGCACCCGCCCGTGACTCCATCCTGCTCCTTCCCCTCGGTGCCCCGTCTCAATTTCCCACCCGGGTCGCGCCTGGGTTTCACCTCACGCGAACGGCCACGCCGCATCCCCCGTGTCCTCACCCTTTTGCAGCCAGCACAGAGGTGCAAATTCATTCCTTTTCTTTATAGCATTCTTCAACCTACGTTACAGGGCTGTGTTTTATGGTGCTGCTGCCTGCACCCTTCTTGCATGTTAACCTTCATATGCTCCTGGCAACGCACGTTTCTGGATCCTGATTCAGATTTCATCTGCAAGTTTAGGTGCAAATTGCTACAGCATTTCTACTCTTTTTATGACTTCAACCTCTTCTTTACAATCACAGTAGCTAAGTCTTCATTAAAACTAAGTATGCAGATTAGATTAAAAAAGGTACTGGGCTACAGAAGCTGAAACACATGCTTGGCTGATGATCTTTGTATTTTATCAGGCAGGGCTCCCGAAAGCTACCACAGTCTGTCCCACCAGTTGCTTTGTATTTCTGTCCCAGCTAAACTCTGCTCAATGTGGTTTTGACACCTGTTCTGCCTCCTCCATCCATCCATCTTGCTGCTCCTCTACTTCCACTCCGTTTTCCTCCTGCCGTCTCCATATCTTCATGTTCTTCTTTTCCATAAATAAGAAAGCAAAGGAATCCTTTAAGAAAAGGAACCCAGCTCACTTCCAGCCCATTCATGCTGTTGACTTTATTCTTCATTCAAACAGCAAAAACGAAATTCCCAGCAGTAAAGATGTATTTCATAGGGAGAAATAGAACCCAGGTACCGCAATCATCCTGTTCAAATGAATTACACTTTCCTAGTGATGCTACCATGAAAAGAAGACAAATACTGATATAACACAGCCTTCTTAAAATGTGGAATGTTAAATTGCATTTAGAAAACTGCAAGTAGGAAAGTCTAACAGGATTGATGGTATCTAGGCAGCCATCAGAAACTGTGCTGATAGCCTGGTGAAAGCATGGTTAAAGTCAATGGAGAAAACCACCAAGTGATAGCAAAAATGTCAGTAACAAGGAAAAAAAATACTTCAGATTGTGTAAGTAAGTGAGGTGATGGCCCTGTGTCAGAGTCACAGCTGGCTGATGGGGATCCAGCCCCCACCCCTTTCAAATCACTTCCTCCCATTCACCGCTCCTCTCTAACGCTTTCCGCTCTGTGTGCCTGTGCTCTAAATCAGCCCTGCAGAAGGTCTGCTTTTACAAAAACCATCTGGCTGGGAGGGGTCCTTTATTTATTTATTTCAGTCAAACCCCATTAGGCGCTGGATGCTGAGCATAGCCTGCAAACAGCAGGCAGCACCAGCCAGAGTGCTGCAGCCTCAGAAGGACATGGGCTTGGACCAGGGGCTTCTTCAGCTGGATTTGCATCAGGGAGAATCGTAACATTATGTTGGACGTTTTCTGTAAACAAAGCCAGTGCTCGCACTGTCCCCAGGGCTGTTGTGAGCAGGTGCCCATGGGTGCTGACAAGGTGACTGTTTTAGTAAAAGTGCCTCTACCTGCCCCTCTAGAGCCTTAGCCATGGGCATCCCCCATCTCAGTTTGCTCTCACTACCTGTGTAGCCACACCAGTGAGGGCAAACCTGTTGTAGGCTGTCATTCGTGCCAGCATAGCTTCTTCCTGCTTGAAACCACCAAAATTTACACTGGTGCACCTATACAGATGGAGGAAATGCCCACTGGAGATAAAGATCGTATGAAATAGTCAAATCTACACAATCTCTCTCAGCATCTTACACTGTAGTCCTGGTCACCACAAAGCCTGAACATGTCTTGTGCATGGCCAGTTTATCTCTCATCCGTTTGCAGACAGTCTGCAAAATCCTTCATTTAACAAATAACTTGCTTGGAAATGTTCACTAAGCAAAGACTCACCATGCCTACTTACACATGCAGCCATATATAGACCACCTATAACAAGTGTCTTAGTTGTTATAGTTACTCCCTAAGGCCGCCTGCAGTCCTCAGCTGCCAGATATTGTCCACCTGCACAGTCTATCTAAATGGCTCATGGTTCTGAGAACTAAATACCACAATCACAATGGCCAAGAGCAGGAAATGAGTGAGTAAGCCCAAGTGAAAGTTCAAAATCACCATTTGTTTTAACATTCTAGAAAGTAGCATTTACCAAATTGACTGGCTTGGGTAGGGGGTTTTGTTGTTTGTTTTGGTGTTCAGCTGTTCTGGGGGGGGTTTAGGATAAGGGATGTTTGTGTGTATCTTAAAATGAGCTCAAGGTAATCCTAAATAATAGTCTTTTCCCGTGAAAAATGAAGGCTATTAAAAAATGAAAACATGTAAGCAAAGCAGAGTGAGTCACAGCAGTTTCTGGGTAGCTCTCTTCTCTCCTGCCCTCGCTGTGTTCTAGCTCAGGTTACACTATAGGTTACAACCAGCACCAAACCTGCACTTGTCATTTCTTTTTTTTCTTCACAGTTGAAGCAGAGTCATCCTGGCATTTTGTAATAAGAACTTTGCAGCAACGTCATTAATAGTTCCACCAGTTTCAGGCACCAGCAGTGACAATGTTTAGGCTGGCATTTTCAATGCCATTCTAACTAAGGCAGTCTTAGCACAAAACCTGTTTGTAGAACTGACATTTAGGCTGTATTTCAATTTAGTAATATTATGTTTTAATATCTTACTTCTCACTTGACTGTTCTTACACACTCATGGGGACAACTGAAGTAGGAATAAAAATTCCTTCTCCTTCCACAAACATTTCAGCTCATGAAATGTATTTCCTCCCATTTTTTCTCATACTCAACTGCAGGTATATTCTATTAATGAGAGAAAAAATATGACAGCATTCACTTCAAATGATAATTTAATAAAAGGAGCAACTGAAGATCCTGAACAGGATGTTGCACTTGACCTAAACTGTAACACCATTGCCACAAAACCACTGGCCTCATGCTGTAACTGACTGAAATGATAAACTCAGACTCCAGCCTTGAGGCTCAGTCTATAATTAAAATAAAACTTGTCAAATGTTACTGCTGCTTGCTTTGAGGAGGAAGTGGCACTGGATTTCAAACAACATTCTTCAAAGCACCACATTTTGGACCTTGATATCTTTATGTTTCAGACAGAAATAGATGACATCCCTCCTTTATATGGAGCAGCTAAACTTCCTTTACATCATTTCTACACATTGCTCAATTCTGCCTTCCAAGAACACGGGAGGAAAAGCAGCTGACTGTCATATGGTGACCCTCAATTCCAGTAATCCTAGAAGAAGAGCAAAGGGATGCACAGCCAGGTTTATGTTTATCTGCATAATCAGGGATAATGAACTTGGCAAACAGTGACAGAAATCAAGCGACAGTGATACTGCAGCCTGCAGCTTCTGAGGACTCAAATAAACTTTCAAAGCCTCCCTTAGGGGCACCCTGATTCTCTGCCTTGTATTGTAATGCTTTTGATTTTTAGTTAAAAGATCACTGTGAAAGATCAAGACTAGGCTATAGCCCAATGGGATAAACCCCTCCTTGACAAACTTCTTGCATAGCATTAGCTTTGCTGTAAACATTTTACACATGATCCCACCCTTCACAGTAGGTATGTGCTCTCCTGGGTTCCAAGCCTTTGATTTTCATTTGCCTGTCGAGAAGGAATGCCCAAAAGAAAACTTCCAGCCTCAGTCTGAGAAGTTAGATTTGTTAAATCAAGTGAAATAAAACCTATTTTGTTTTTTTCTGATGCTACTGGCTTGTTTTCTCATGTTAAAGTTTTGCAAGAACAGAACTTCAGGCTCACAAAGGAGCCCTGCAAGCTCCAGAATTTACACTGTACAACTGCTAATTAAAAAAAGCCGGTTTGTATTCCATAATTTTCAATCATTATCCATGGTGGTGCTTTTTTCTCCCAGGACTTCTTTTGCCAAGAGGATTAAATTAACACCACAGCAAGCAGAGTTTTATTCTCCTCGCTGCACCCCCCTCCTCCTTCCCCAGTGATTTGTCATAGAACCAGTTCTGGATCACTTGGCCTCCTCTGAGTCTGTCCTGTAGGGAGAGTTTATCAAAGCTGTCAGTGTTTTCATCACTGAACATTATAGATCTCATTTCAAACTCAGAAATCATTTATTGACAAGTCCAAAGTTAAACCGCCATTTTTAATGTGAGGGATTGTATAAAACTATCATGTTCTTCACTGGAATGATTTAGTATCTTTTCCCAGAGCAGGCAGCACAAGCACACTTGTTCTGCAAGTAGGATTATGTTTTATGCATTGAATAGTCACGAGTCTCTCGTGGTCTGCCATTCAAGTTTGCAAAGAAAAGTCAAAGTTCAATCTGGCAAAGCACAGCCTATGGACACAACTGGCTGGCAGAGTGTGCCTAAATCAAACCAGACATTTCTATATCCATGAGCCTGTACTATAGTGGTTCCCAGTGTTTTGGAAGTGAGGCTTTCTGCCTTATCTTTTTTGCCCTTCTCCCCCACTTCTCATTTCACCTCTGTGTTACAGAGCCACGCCACTGCCTTGTCCCCTTGGCTTTGATCCTCTTCTCTGCCCCTGACACCAGCTTCTCACCTACAGGCAATGCCTTCCAATGTGTTTCGCTGATCTTCAAATACATCCAGGTCTCTAAGCTCCACTGGTTAAAGAACATGCAAATAAACTGGATTTTGGGGGTGTGCTTATATTCCTCCAAGGCACAAGGGCTAGTGCCAGCTTCCCACTGAAACAATGGAAGGTGCTTTTGACAATGCACTTGCAAATTGTACTTATCACCTATTCAGCACAATATGCTATAAATTTTCTCCCATGTTAGTTGTGCTACTAAATAAATGATGTTTGTTTATGCATAGGACTCCATAGGACTCCAGTGTTTCTGCCTGATGAACACTGTAGAAGGTCATAATAATAACATCCTGTTTGACTTTTTATATGCTGGAAGATTACATTTTGGAACTGCATTTGATTTTGCTCACTTTGTAAACAAGGACATATGAGTATCAAATTATAGATAATTCTGACATCTAAGGAGATGGCTCAGACTACAGGTGTGTAACTGGTTGCACAAAATGTTTATGATTCCACAGGCAATTGAAGTTGTGACGTTATTCTTTGTCCCTGTCATTATCTGATTTCATAAGTGCATGTTTTACAAATACCAGGGTGCACCTTCTTTGAAAACATAGCCCATTATACATGGTGTTTTGTGTTTTGTTTCAGAGCTGTGTGTGCAGCTGCACCCTTCATAAGGAAGACAGCAGGCAGGAGTAGGGATTTGGTTGCTAAGGGCTTGAAAACTTGCAGTCCTGCAGTAGCTGTGCAGCAGGCAGCCTTGTACGCGGTGTTATTTCCCCATGCTACTGACTCATTCCCACAAACGAGAAGGAAAGAGGCGAGTTTGGTGCGGTGAAATGTCACTATTATCCCTCTTTCCAAGGCAGTACTGAAAACAGGCTCAGACTGTGACATTCAGTCCCTCAAAATGAGAGCAAATGTGCCAAAGCTGCCCATTCCAAAGGCTTAGCAGCTATACGCACAGAGTCATTGCATTTTAGTAAGAGAAGCACAAACATGAGCTGGAATGCTGAAGCAGGAATCATTAACAATATGGTATCATTGTACATGTGCCCTGAGCCTACACAATGGGCATTCATCTTTTAGATTTATCTTTTAAATGTCTGAACTCAGACAAGACTACTGCAATTAACTGGCAAGTTAAACACTACCAGATTAGAATGCACTGTTAACACCTGCATCCCTGATCTGCACGGATGGCTTTGATATTATTTTCTCTTTTGACAAGTGGGCGATAGCGGATATCCTTTAAGCCTATATTTAATGAAGCCCTCCATAAATCCATCAACACTTGCAAAGGGAAACTACAATAAAGCTCATACTGCCATAGGCTCTGTTATTGAGAGAACATTTGGCATTCTCATAATGAAGTTTCAGAGCAGATACTTCTCACACTGATCTGAGGAAGTGCGGTATTTGTACAGGATCTTTTTCTTCCTCACACAATTATGTGTTGCGGACCAAGAAGAAAACAACCCTTCAGTACCTAATTTTCCAAGCAATAATAGCCAAACTCATTCATCTAGGACAGCTGTCAAATATAAGAAATTCAGAAAGAAAAAGGTGCTGTTTTCAAGAGAAATAAACTCACATTTTTATTCTGTTAGTTCTGTTTTTGTTAGTGATTCTGCTATTAGCTGTAGCTGTTTTGTGAATTCTCACTATGCTGTTTTTCTATTACATCCTGTAGGTGTGATAAAAATTGTAAAGCTATAAAATAAGTTGGTATTTGTTACATATTTTATCAACACCCCCCGCACACAGAAAGTGATTATTTTGTCAGTTCAGACTGAAAGAATTTATAGGGGAACAAAGGAATAGGTAATGAAGAAATCCGATTTTTTCCAGATCTGGACATCATGAGTTGACAGGGGTGGAGCACTTTTAATACATACAGTGATTTAGGTACTACAAAGCAGTAAACCGCTTGAATGTGTACTGTGCTTCAAGGACTTAAGTAATCAAACTGGTTTCATGGGAACAACTAGTGTATTAACAAACAAACCAACAGCATATAAAAAAAACCCAATAAATTAAAAATGTTTGGCATTTTGAATATCTAGACTGCATGGAGACAAATTTTTCCATAGGACTGTAAAGGGCTGTTAGACCAATTTAGTCAACTTGATTTAGAAGTATCCTATCATCGTGTACTATCAAGTATCCAGGTAGATAATGTGCATAAAGGGTTGCAGGACAGATTCTGCATTACTACATTAAGAATACAGGTTATTTGTCAGGTAATTATTTATTCCATGTATTCTTCCTGCATCCCCTTTCTCTCTGCAACATCCCACCTGGCCCTCACATTCTCATGGTTTCATAGACTGGGTGCTCTGACTTTCGGTCAGCTCACAGTTTGGTTTGAGGTGATGCTTTGGGGGTTTTTATTGTTTTTGTTTGGGTTTCTGTTGTTGTGGAGTTTTTTATAGGAATGTTTAAACGAGCTGATTGATTTAATAATGATCTAACCAAGATTATTAATTCATTATTAATAAAATGGTTATCTTATTTATGCTTTGAATCATATTTGTTCCTAAACATGCAAGCAAAAGCATAGGAACATCCCTACACAACAAATGGTTTTAAAAAGGCTTTGTGCAATGTATCCTGTTTAACCAGACTGAGAAGGAACCCAAGAAGCATCCTGACCTACTGTGAGTGCTCAGGTGTGGTATCTGCCCACCAAAGCCAGTCTGGCATCAGAGAGGAGCTGCAGAATACCCCCCTGCAGCATGCAGGCTTCAGCTTTTTCCCTCCTGCTCCATCATTCTCTCAGTGACCATCAGTTTGATAGCGTATTTCAGCAGAGATTTTTCATGCTTCCAAGCCTAGAGAAACTGTGACCACACTCCAGTGTAAAGAGATTCAAACACTGAAAGAGTGGATCTGTATTCCTGTCCCTGCATCAATTCCCATTGCTGCTTGAGTTTGTGGTCTTTAGATTTCACCCTGTTCTTCCCTTTTGCTCCATATTGTGTTGACATTATGGACATGCTTTCCCTCCATATATATAGAGTCTGTTCGACTAAATATATATATATAAATATAAATCAAACAGCACTGGGCATTGTAAATTTCATTTGATTTGGGCTTTTTTAGTTTTCTTTAGAGACACTTCTACAAAAAACTTCAGTAATGTCTGAATTTTGCCTAAACCAAGTATTGGAAAATAAGGCAAACAATGAGATCCACCTGTTCTCATTCTGAATCAAGACATTTTCTTGAACTTGCAACTTGCAATTGCATGAAGCAATTGAGTCAGAGGAGTTATTCTTTGGACTGAGAGATGTAGCAACCAGAAAGACTAATAAACAAGTTTGAAAGGAGAGGGATGCTGCTTTTAGGTTGGCTAAATCCAGCACAATTCAGTTATAATAGGCATTAAAAAGCATGCTTTCCAATAAATCAATCAGAACTTGAGTATCAGCAATATTAACAGCAATCAAAATGTTGCCAAAACCACTGCCCTTTACAAGTAATTAACCCAAAGTGCAGAAAATAGAAGGTACAATAATGAAATAGGTAACATGATAATAGGCAATAATGAAATAGGTAACATGATAATAGGCAGGAGTGTGCAATAGCCAGTTCTTTTCTCCACTTGAGGTATGTTTCCTGTCCTGCTGTGGCTGTGCAATGACAGACATGTTTCTAGGTCAGTGATGAATGTGAGCAGAAGTCACACACAAGTCCAGTGCTCACCCACACATCACTAATGAAGAGCACTCACCAGTGAGTGCGAGCAGGGAGGCCATAGGAAGTGCATGCAGAGAAGAGCCCTCTCATCTGAACACACAACACAAGAGACTCAGAAAGCCTCAGCACGGTAGCAGCAACCTCATGGGATCACATAGACGCTAAGAAGGCTTTCTGCCTAAGCTGTTATTTTGCAAACAAAAGCCATCATTTTTCCTCATTCCAAATGTATTACAAGTCCTACAGTAAGCACAATGGCTTTCAACAGGAAAAATGAACAATTAATGCAATATGCATACCTTTTCCTTTGTTTCAGCCTCTCCTTGCCATCCCATTGGATCAGGCACCTCAGCTAGCTCCTCTCCCCTCTGTAGATCCCCTCAGTGGTCATTTACACTTTGCTCCATGTTGTATTTATCAGCAGCCCCAGGAAGGCTTCCACCTCCTCACTGCCAGCTGTGGGAAAGGCAATCAACCTCACGAGCTCAGCCCAGAGCTGATTATCTACATGATTTTCAGACAGACTCGCTCCTCAGAGTTCTCACTGGCTTTTTGGTAAGTTTTGAACAGATGGGGTAGGTGAATAGAAATGTTTCTTTAGAGGAACAGAGCTAACACATCAAGCTAATGCACTTTGTTTTTAAACAATGCAATTTTAAAGTTTAAATTTAACATTTTAAGCAAGCCAGCCTTTACCCTAGCTCACACAAATAAACTACTCACACAAAAGCAACAGCCTGGGCAAATCCTCTATGTGATGAGCAAAGTAAGCAGTAACAAATAAGAACAGGAGAGTCCTTTAGGCAAGAAGAGAAGCTAATGAGCAGAGACAGCTCACATACCGTGCTAACTTCTGCACTCACACCAGTGTAGCTATATTAGCTTTGGTAAACTTGTTCCTAATTTACATCAGCACAGGGAAAATCAGGTATCTTTTCAAATGGTTGAGACGCAACATTACTGTAAACTGTACACACTTGCCAGGGCAGTTCTCACCACGCTGACTTTCAGAAGGTGTTGGTTCAGCTCTCATATAGGGGAGAGCAGCCAATTCCCAGTCCTGCTTGCTCAGAAACACAGGCTCCAGCCAGCTGCCTCCAGCAGAAACAGTCCTATGACATAACCCTCTTTCTGCTGGGGGGACACTGGTCAGATAGGTCCTACCCGTTCTTCAGGTTTTGTGATAAGATCCATGACTTCCTCACATCAGCTTAGCTGGGGATCCTGCTATGCTCCAGCCTGGAGCTGCCTTGTCACTGAGCTGTGAGATACAGCTTTAGGCACAGCCAGAGCTTGACACAATGTTCTGGAGAGCAAAGCCTTATACTGACTCTGTGCCAAGTCACATCGTTTCATATTCACTGCTGTCTGCCTGGCCAAGGCAGCCCCTAGCTCAGTCTACCCAATTCCCCTGTGCCACCCTATGCTGGATACCATACACCTATTTGCCAGAACTTCTTGTCGTGGTTTCCTAGCCATTTCCTGACCTATTTCTAGACCATAACTCATGTTTTAATAAATTCCTCCTCCCTCCTCATCTCCCCTTAATTTCTAACCTGTTGACCAACAGTTAAAGAAGGTAAAGGTCTAAATATGCAGTTACATTCTTATAGATGGTCACAAAAAGGCAGTCAACACCACATTTAGGCACTTTTTGAGATAAGGTTGTAATGTGAACTCAGCACTCATGGGACAGGCTGAGAGTCTACATTTAAGAGAGGAAGGGATCCCAAACCTTAGTGTCTGGCTGAGGAGACATCAACAGGCACTACTAAGGTGCAGAGGTCCGGGGCAGCAGGTTTTGTTGGTTTGCTGCTAGCAAAACTGCTCGTTTCCTCCTGCTGCTAGCCTATTTTCATGGCATCACCTATACCACTTGGTATCAAGCCATCAGTAGAGAGCAGGCTTGTTATCACACGTTCCTGTGAAGCCAGGCCACTTCTTTACAACACCCCATAGCTGGCCCATGCTTGAGGTTTCCCAGCTAGGTCTTTAGCTATGACCCAGCTCTTCTGTAAACCCAACACCTCCCCTTTGACACCACACTGGTCTCCGTGCTGCTCTAGTTAATCCTGCACAGGCAGCACATCCTGCACATGGTGCCCGGAAGCATCAGCACAAGGAGCATGCCAGAAATCCAGCCCAAAGTTTGAAGGAACAGAGCAGCAGCTCTGGCAATGAGCCCATCTGGGCACCCAGAGCAACACTGCAACAAAGCGGGTTATTAGCTCAGTGGCTGAGAGCAGTATCCACGCTAGCATAAGTGTGTATTTATTTTACTTACCACCACTGAGAGAGCTCATGCTATACTCCTCACCTATCACAGTTCAGATTATAATCCCTTGGTTTCCCTTAAAGCAGGGTCATGTCTTCTCTTGCACCAACTATTTTGTCTCCTGAAACTACAGTGCTGCTCTTAAACAACTGCATGTTCTGTGCAGACTAGCTAAGTGTTGTATGCTTTCTACCTTCCCACACCCCACCTTTTCCTCTGCTCCTATGTTTATTTTGCCCACATTCCATTTTAGTGTGGGAATCAACATCCCTGATAAGTACCGATTCCTGTATCAAACCCCAACTGCTCCCAAGAAACCCATTTGGAGACCATTCCGCTGCTACCTAAGTCCTAAATTAAAGCATAACCCTAGATCCTGGATTTTAAGAGTCACTGGAGTGAGACAGCATGCTGCCTCTTTTTGCTTTTCAGGAGACAAATGCTTTGCCAGAAAAATTTAAGCAGTAAGTGTGAAAAAGCCATCCCAAAATTTATTCTCAAAATGTCCAACAGAAACGCATCAGTAGATACTCAAAACTACAGAATTCTTGAAAGTTATACATTCACAATGCAGAAACTTGACAATTGGGATGCCTTTTGCATGGCCTATGTAACAATATCCATCTTACAGTGTAAACAGGTACTGGTATGTTCTTACTTACAAGTCCAGCAGGAAAGGCACAACTTGGCATACAGAGATCATAAGCAAGAATCAGGTGCAACAACATTACACAAACTTTTGGTAATCTGCATTTTTGGGCCTTCCACAACGGAGACTGGACTTGAAGATTTCCTGCAGTCAACAAACTAGACTTCTTTCCATCGTTCAGTCCTTCCATACCAAATACTCACTTTCCAGTCTGGTTTAGATCCCATTACACATACAATTCCAGCAGACATTAGAGGAATAGTGAAAGGTCAGTCCAGTAAATCTTCAGGCGCTTCCACTAATACATCAGGTTTTAGTTTCAGATAGTGCATGGAAGCATCTGCTTGAATCTCAGTTCATTACAGTGGTCATTAATAGAAAAATAGACACTACAACTACATAAGGAAAAAATGAGGTAGATAACTTAGAATCCAGATGACTATCCCAGCAACCTTCATACGATACACGTGGACCATTAATTACCATTTTTGGCAGAATGCAAATTCACAGACCACCAAGAAACTTAATGACCAGAGAAGGAATGCCATCCAAAAACCCACAAAACATTTAACCTAAACATGAATACTTCATATTTAAATACAGGTTTACACAGACTGACCTTCTAAATTACCCAAATGAAAATAAAAACAAAAATCAAAAAGTCTCTTGCTAAGGAAACCAGTTCCCATGCCCAATTGCAACAGTCATCCGAGATTCCTTGCAGAGCTTTTAGACCTGACTTCCCAAGGCAAGCCTTCCCTTTCAAGAGAGGAAAAAAAAAAAGTATATACATACCCACCCATGCTTGTTTGGGGCTCTCGGTATTGAAATAAAACATCTAGGAAAAACTGCACATCTTTGGAAGTGGGAGTTTTGGCACTACATTTGAAGGACTGTCCTAGTAGTAGTATTAAATAAGCAGCAGTCAACAATACAGAGAATTAAGTCTTTAGGAGCAGTGATTAAAGAAAAAACAGCAACTTTCTCAGAACTTCTGAGGCAAAAAAAGGAATAAAAAAAAATGTAGTTTTTATAGCCATTATAGTAAAAAGTACATTCAGCAACCACACAGAGCCAAAAATCCAAACAGAAAAACTAGTCCTAAGAGGGTCCAGACATTCTAGGATATTTACCCGCATTAATAGTTTTCATTTCTCATCAGTAAATAGAAGCTTTTCCATCAACAGTAGGTTGTTTCCACTCAATTCACATCCCCCAAGTATTTCACTCTAAACTAAGAGGTAAATATTCTAACCTTTGGAATTTCAAGTTGTAGAAACTTCTGTAAGGCTGTACACATTACTCACACGTAAGAACTACTTTGCAAGACCCGCATCTTTCCAAATAGAAGGAAATCCTATACTTTATTATTTACTATTTGCAAAGCAATATCATGATTGTACTCTGGGCAACTCTTACAAAGACAACCATAAAATCATTTGCACGTCAATAGGAAAATAGGAGGCTGAAGTGGAATCTCTTAAAAATATATGTTTGTGTATATATATTTGTTCTTTCTGTACGTCAGCTTTACTAGAGTTTTTAACTAACAGCAATTTTGTTCTCTTCCATGAAGTGAGGGAACTGGTGTTTTGGCACATTGTCTGCAGCAGCACCACTGGCCTTCTCAGTATCAGAACCAGTCCCAGACTGGGTCCCATCTATTTTGGAGACTGTAGCAGTATTTATTGCTGAACCACCTCCAATCGTGACTGGAAGGGTAGGTAAGCCACCGCTCTGGATCACCGAGATCTCGTTAGTCTTCATTGCTATGCCATTGCTGAGTACCGCTGCATACTGATTCCATACTGTGGGGTCAATGCTCACTGAAGGAGGCATCATATCCTTTGGAAACATTTCAGATACCTTCTTGGGATCATTCCCCAGCAGAGCCATGGGGTTATCAATCGAGAGCCTTCTTCCCCGCCTGGCAGAGTTATTCCACATGTGAGTGCCTACATGGACCTTCAAGAAAGGGGAAAAAAAAGAATAATTAATACAGAAGTTCTTCTATTGTATACTCTAGTTCTACTTTGCTTACAGTCAAGTTGCTCAAAGGAAGCCATGTACGCTCCAATTGCATTCAGGTAAGTATTTAAGCTGGCTAGTTCTTGTCTTTTTTCTCTTCCTGGCATGTGTAAGATAGTCATTCTCCTGGCCAGCATCATCATGGTTCTCTAGAGTTTACTGCTGAAGTGCTTGTAGGACAGTACTTTTACACTTACAATAAGTGGTGCTGGCAAAGATGCCCCTCTCCCCCCAGATAAATAACAGCCACATTATTTGCTGTGAGTAGACTATATTGAAAAAAAACCACTAGTTAATGGAAAAAAAACCTCACCAGGAAATTTGGAAGAGAGGTTCTATCTAAGTTAATGTCTTCCACATCACAAACATACTGCTAGTGCTTCCAGCAAGTGACTGTTTCACAAACGGCAGTATTTTTCCCTCCCCATCAGTATTTATGCAAGAGGCTGAAAAGCATGAAGAGGTTCTCATAGGAAGTGAGAAGCCTCCATGTGAGC